CACATGCTCTATGTATATCATATAATTTTATTTATGTATATCATATACGTTTTCTGTGATTTTCGTCAATAAAACAATATCCACTATAAATTTTAAGACGAAAAACATAAAATTTAAAGTATTTTTATGATTTTTGAGTTAAGTTTTTTGTCACATATTTATGTTAAATACTAATATTGTTGTATAAAACGGAAAGTTTTTTTGTAGAATAAAATTAATATGATTATTATGAATACCTATTGACTTTTATTTTTATGGTCCTTGCAACTTTGTAAGTGTTTTGACCTTCATTCTTTAAAAAGTTTTTCGACATGTAAAGGTAAACATTATATACGTATATTATTATATGTACGAATCATAAATATATAAGACTAACACTTCATTTTATTTATTAAAACTTTCAATGTTCAATACTTTATCAAAATAGTTTAAAATTTACTTAAGTAATGTAATTTTAAATTAACGTGCATCATTCTCGAAATGATGTGTAGTATTATCCAAGACCTTGAGTAATACCACGCACCAGTTTTTTTTTTATATTTAATAGTGAAGTACTGAGTAAAAAACTAATTCAATTCAAGGGAAATTGAATTTTTAGTTCATGTTTAAAGTTATATCATTCCCCCATTTTCCCATGTGCACAGTGATTATTTTAAATGCTTGCCACTCGACTTTTTTTAAAGTAGTAACTATGTTAAATTATTTTTGGTATTTTTTATTTTTATTTCTGTTTATCAGTTAACAATTACTTTTTTTTATTTAACCCTTAAATTCATACCTTATATGGATGTCGACTTTATATTAGCTTCGATGCGAAGCTGACAAAGTATTAATTTTATTTTGATGCGTTTTTTTTATGACAGTCGCCATTTTTTCTTACATCTCTTTGACTCGATATTTTTCAATGATACGTCAAAAGATCACAAATTATACCTAGTTGAAGACATACCCTTTAAAGTTAAGACATTATCCATACAAATTTAAAAAAAATCACTCGATTCCCGTAAATGGGGGATATCCATTAAAAAGTTACCATTTTTAAAATATGTAAATTTTGAAAATTTTTTAACTTTTTTACTTAAAATCATCATAACTTCTTTTAAATAGATGAATCAAAACAATTTTATTTTTATAAAGATCTTAAGTATTTCCCTTTCAATTGGTATATTTTTTACATCAGATTCTTTATCCGCCCGCTGACGGGAATTAAAAATATCAACTTTTGTATAACATGTTAACCTTTTCAATTTAACTTTTAAAAATATTCGGGAAATACTCCAAGTGTTAAACAAATAATAAATTAAAGTTTGTATTACATACTAAAATTAACATAAAAAAATGTTGCCGACATTTATTTTTTATGTGCCAATAGCCGCCGTAGTTAAAAAACATATTATTTTTGTGTTTAAATTTTTGATTTTATATAATATATATTTAACTTTAAAATTTGCTGTAATTTTTTGAAAAATTTAAGGATCAATACTTTTTTTTTAAGTACTTTATAGCAAATCCAATATCCTTTTTTTAAAAATCAAACTATTTTCTATAGTTTTCTATTTGAAGTTTTTTTGTAGGTTCATCAGTATAATCATATAGGAAATGGATAAATATCCCCTTTTATAACAAATAATAATAATAAAGAAGGTTAAGTGTTATATACAGAGTTTTAACACCCTTATAAATATTTTCTGAGAGAATTTTTGTAGCTCTTATTGGCAATATAATAAGTACGTTAAAAGAAAGGATAACTAAAAAATTGTTCTAGTTACTATTGACATGATAAACTAAAATTTCAATTTCATAACTGAAATAATAATTAACTAACGAAGGTCAGAATAATTAAATCAAAAAAGTAAAATTTCTATTTTTCCTTTAATAAGTCCTTACTTACAATTTTCATACACGTTTGCTATAGAGGTAACGAAATATACAACTATTATATACTATTATACATTTTTATGTAAAACTTACAATACTAATTTTTTGAATATTAATTTCATACTAAATTTAATTGCTGTAGTCCCTATTTCCAAGCGTTCAAGGATGGACCGATTTCATTAATTATTTTTTGTTGTGTTATTTATTATCAGAAAAAGATTCTTACGAATGAAAAAATTATGAAAGTTGCGTAGAATATTAGACAATTTAAGAAAACTTAATGACTATTTAACCTTTGCCCGTTTGATTGTTCATGCGATAATCTCTGGCAGCAAAATAAAGGAGACAACAATACATCATATGTTTTATACTATTATAGCAGATGCATCATCTGAATACATTACATACACTAATAATTTTTGTCGCTTTACTAAATCAAAGTTTGAACACATCGAGAAGGCATTCTCAAACATTGCTTAAAATGACAAAAATCTGAAAAAAACAACGTTGATGCCGATTAAATTAATTGTCCAATTCAAAATGAAATATCTGGCAAATCGTTGATACAAATCGATTGATTCTATCACTAACCAAGTTGATGTTATCAACTATCAAACGGAATTTTTAAGTTCGTTGGAATTGTCCAGATTACCCCTCATTATCTGCTATTAAAAATCAGATCGGTAATAATTATATTGCTGAATATAAACCATTCATGTCTTTGTAATGGTACTGACTTGCGGTAAAGAAATTAATGAACAATTTCATTGAAGTCATAATTTTGAATGGAAAGTACAAAGACGAAGAAGTTCTGAATCCACAGATTCCTTTGATTCCAAACGTCATGCTATTCGACTTTAAATGGTTACAATTTCCAGCGTGACTAGCATTTGCAATGCGGATAAATAAATCGCAAGGGTAGTCACTAAGTGTTTGTGACATTAATCTTAAAAAATTCATGTTTTTCACATGGCCAGTTGTATGTCGCCTGTTCCGTGTCGGAATACCAACAAAACAATTCAAATGTGCGCCTGAAAATAAAACTTAGAATATTGTGTATCAAAATCATCATAATATTAAACACTATTTTTTTGGAATAATCATTTTTTTTAGTAATTATACCAATTCGAATTCAATATTCATTTTAACTTATGGTAACATAAAAAAATTTTTATGGCCAAAACAACGTTTGTCGGGTTAGCTAGTAAAAATATATGTGTACGTGTCATATTTATAAAACATTTGTTGTCAGGATATAATTAAGAAAATAAAAGTTGATTTGTTTTTATAAAAAATTCAAAAATTCATTATAAATATTAAACACAATATTTGCGTTGGAGCATTTTTATGATAATAATTTTAATTGTTGTCAGATATTCTCTATACTTGTGCTCATTTTGCTATTTTTTTTAATGACAACATACACATTTAACTGACATATAAAATAATAGAATATGATCTAATTAGGAAAATGACTGATCAATAAAAGCTTTTGACCCATTATTTCGGAAGTTATTACAATTTAAAAATAATTACTGAAAGTGACTAAACACATTTATAAATATTGTATCAAATGAAATTTTTTAATTTATGCGTATAATTGTACTTTATACTAGGACATGATTGAATAGAATAAAGTGTTGTTTTTTCTTAATAATTAAATAAATTAATAAATACTGTTATTAATGGTTCATTATAATGAACCTTTATGTAATAATTATTATATAGAGTGGAACAGATCTAACTAACAACTCATATAACTTATGATCTACCTAACATTTTATACTTTTTTTTCAATCAATTATTACAATATAGAACTTTATTTAAAATATGATTGTGTTATTTTTCGCAATATCAAAAAATATTTTAAAAGTTAATTTTTTAAAGTTTGAAGGTAGCCATTTTATAGATAAGTTTAAAAGAAAAATGTTGATACCAAAAACTCAAAAATGCTTGTTCAAATGTTAATAATTTTAATTGAAAAGAAATCGCGTACTGATACTAGTAAATAACGTAATAAGTGTTTAGTTCCGTCTTTTACATAATATGGACTAACATTTGATACCATAGGAAAATTGTAAAAAAAAATCAAAAATTAACAAATTTCAAAATGCTGTATAAACGTAACTACTGAATTAAAATAAGAGTTTTTTCTATCAACATTTTTCTTTAAAACTTATTTAAAAAATGGCTCTCTTCAAATATGAAAAAAAATTTTAATAAAAAACTTTTAAAATATTTTTTTGTAATTGCGAAAAATAACATAAACACATATTTTAAATATGGTTCTATGTTATAAAAATTTATTAAAAAAGTATAAAATATTATGTAGATCGTAAGTTATATGAGATATCAATTATATCAGTTCCACTCTGTACATAGACTCTTAAAATTAGAATTCTAATTTAGAACTTTTGCATTTATTTATTTGAGTTATTACATTAAATATGAGCTAAAAACTAATTTAGTTAATGATTTTTAAACGGGATGTATAAAATCATAATTAAAAATTGAAATAATAATTTTTTTAATGATTTCGTTACGTAGTCAACGTGTTTATCACTGTTTCAGCTATTTTTGTCATATTCATACTTTTTCTGAATATTGCAAACGGATAATATTCATTATAGGTATTATAGTAGAAGAAGTATCACGGAATTTCTCCACTTTCATATATTATGTATAAATGACCAATGACAGATCGATATCCATTTTTGCTACTGTATGTTTTTTTTTCCAATGCCAATACATAAATTAAATAAACAAACAATATTAACCGGGTAATGTAAACAAAAAGCGGTTCGATATACGCTGGTATTCGTGTTTTTTTAAATCCATTGATATATTTGGTTGACTAAGTCTGTTGTTGGGACAATATAAACTGCGGAGGTAAAAATCAAATTACTTATTATAATTTGACAACTTTGTTTTAGCCTTAAGCAAATTGCATCATGAAGTATAATGAAAATCGTTTTATGCTAATTTTAGGATGCGTTAACGTTGAAATCAATGAGAAATTATCACCTCATTTGTATTAATATTTGAATTTTCACCCACGGGAACAAAAGTTTTTTTGCGTTCCGTGTCTATGCTGTTACTCATAACTTCTCCGATGTGCTTAGGTTCACAGCGAAATATGTTTGACGTTCAGACCAACGGCCTATAATACGTTTAATAGCAGCGTTGCCGTTGTGCACATTCGATTTGTGACGAAGACTGAGATCGTATGTTCTTTTTTGCCTCTTGGCATCATAGTTTGCTCGCAAATGGCATTGGCAGAGAAAAATTACACAGTCGATAAGGAAGAGCAAGACGAAACCTACTAACCCAAGATAGGGTGTGGACATGGCAAGACGGTGTTTTCAACGGCTAACACACTCGTAAGATTTTCATCCTTTTTCTTTTCATAGGTCGTTTGTTTGTCAGTATTTTTCATTACTTGTATGCTATTCTACTGGACAGCATATCGTTGTCGATCAGTTTCCCGTATAAATATCATTACATTTCTCCCATTAATTCAAGTAAATCTATCGTTTATTTACAATCGAAAATTCAACTATTATCAATTCAATGATTACTCATTTATACTTGAATAATAATCAAATGCCTGTACAACTAATTATTATCCGATATGTGCTAACGTCTATTTAAAATTTTCTATGGTTGATACTCTTATTTTAACACTTGAAATTGAAAATTTACAGTAACGTTATCGGAAATCGCACAGTTGACTTCATTTATAGTTATCAAACTAAACGATTAATTTATATGATTATATTGATTATCCTCATTAATAATTAATACTAATATATATATATATATTGTATTAAAGGAAGGAATATCTACAACTTCGTTTCCACAGTTAGAGTAAAGCATAAACTAAACGAGTAATCGCTCGATAATAAAATTTAGATTTGAGTTAAGCGTATACTGACAGTATTAGAAACTGAAAACTGTTTTTACTAAAAAACTGTTTTGTTCGTTTTTTATACTTAACGAATAATAACTATGTGGAAGAAAAACGCGTAAAACGTATAATTTTAAATATTTTAATGCCAATATTTGATAAATTATATAATAAAGTAAGTTATCGGTATAAGACATCATCAGGGGCAGTGCGAGAGGACTTGGGGTTAGCCCAGAAATTTAGCAAAATTATATGTATTGCTATTTAATTATATAAAACTATTCGTTTCATATAATACTCAATCATTATCATTTTTAAAACTTCAGATAATAATACAGTCATAAAAATTTAAACAAACGAATATCATAAAATTATTTTTGATTTATATATCTTTGGGATGTCATTTTATTTGTAGACGTTAAAGTTACTATTGAAAATGAACTTATTTGTCATCTATATCTAAACTTTTTAAAAACTTTTTTTTTGTACCAACAGTAAGATATTGTTTGGAAGTTCATTTGCTGCAGTAAATATGTGCACCAAGCGTTTCAAATAACACCGTATTCAAAAGAAAAATTATTGCTTATTTTCTTTTGTTTTTTTACCTTTTGTGTATAATATTTGTAATATAAAATTTCAATATTATTGTAAATGAAAAACTATCACTTTCTTTCATTTAATGCGATTGAAAATTTATAACATGAGTTACATTGTACAACAAAAATAAATGTAATAGTGCTGTTATACTTATTTTGTACATCAGATTATTCGGTTGTACAAAATAATTGGGTGAAAATTTGGAATTAAGTCTTTAAAATCATATAAAAAGAATTTAAAAACATTTAATTGTTTTAAATTCCTTTAGTTTGTGTTTATACTTCGAAATCATTTTCATTATGACTTTTGATGAAATAAACATTTTAAAGGATGGTAAATAAAATTTAAAAAAGTAGCCATAGTAGTATACTACTAAAATAATACATAAGTATGTTTATTTAATATCAACTAAAGATCACATCAAAGCTTTTTTTATTTTTTTGCTTTGTTTATACAATGAAGATTTAACTTCTGTCTTCTGGATTATAAATCAAAGCTACGTTTGATAAAAAAAATAACGATAACCATTCGCTTTTATGTACTATGAATAAATATAAAAACAACTTGTTTTCAAAAACTTATTATATTTGAATATTATTCATGATTTAGAATTTAGAAAAGCTATGAATTAGGAATAAATACTTGAAAATATAATAAAAGAATATAAAAATTTGGTAGCTATTGTATAGCATTGTATCTGCATTAAGAAATTCGTTTTTGATTTTAATATAAATCCACCAGTATGTCACTAATATTTATAATTAAATCATCTAACTCAATTCTATGTCAAATATATTTTATAACTTATTTATATGGATATTGATTAGCAACTTTTCAGTCATAAAATATAAGAAAATTCATAAAGTCACTATTGAAATAATAATGCAATATTGTGCATTATTTATATTGTTAAAACAAATTTTATTGTTATATCTTTAAAAATATTTTTATATTCACAGCTTTTGCTGCGAATAATTTCCATCATTTTTTTTATTTTATTGTAGTAAAGAAAAGTTCATACGATAATATTTAAAATTATAGTAGTGATACGTAGCTAAAAAGATATTTCACTAAAACTATAAATTTTATTTTAATTGAAATTAATATGCAGTTTTTTTACACTTAAGAATAATGAAACTTATTTAAAACCAGTATAACAATTTTTTTATATCATAAGTATAAATGTGATATTATTGTGAAATACTATACTTCTTCAATTATAAAACATTACCTAAACATGCTTTGACTTTTAAAGTAGACAAAATTGATCGTGAAATTACTAAAACTTTAATAGTATTATTTTCAAAAAGGTTTTTATTTCTTAAAAATAAATTATAGTTGTATTTATGTGAGTTTACTTTTAAATAACCAACACCCCGTTAAATAAAATTTGGTATTTTATTGAAAATAATGATTTTTTTTGTCGTAAAAATGTATTTATGAGTAAATATTAAATTATATAATAAATTGGGAAAATCTAAAGTGAAATCAAAAGCATATTTATGTTGAAGTTTACTAATTTGATATTATTAAAATGTATTAATAAAAGTATTAATTACCTTCTTAAATTTAGAAATTATCTGAGGCAAGTTGATTTTATCTTAGAATTCAGACCAAAAATATATTCTTTATTCTGTGGCTATATTACCATAAAAAATTAATTTAATGATACTGTTATAACAAAATGACACAATTCTATATTACGAGGTACTTTGTAGTCCGATTTGTACTCTTTTTTTTTTTTACTGAATTGTAAATTCTTACGTAATATTTGTCTTCTATTTGGTTTCTTATAGGCAATAGCGTGTAAAAATTTCATGGTTGTTTGAGAATTGATACGTTTTTTCTATTCCATATGTACACCAAACACATTGTCAACAATGCTAACGTTTTACAATTTTTATCGCCAACTGGTAAGTATTTCCTTATTTTTTTAGCGACTTGCTACCATTATTTCCTGAAAATCGTCTTCGAACAGTTTTTGTTTCAATATAGTTAGTTACAAGTTTTTATATAAGGCCTTTAAACATTTTTATATGTTGTACGGCCAATGGTATCAAAGTACTACATTTCAATGGTTATTATACTTTTAGCACTATGGAGGATCATTCTTTTTTTTTTTTTTTTAGAAAAAGTACTTGTATACTTTTGCAAATATTTTGAGCACTTAACCATTTTATTAATGTTATAAGAAAAAGTAATGAAAGAATGGCAATTAGTGATCTTTTATATAAATTTAATGTTTGAATTTAAATGATGAATTTTAGACTAAAATACATTTTTTTAATTAAAAACTTGAAAGTAAATATTATATGTTCAGTATATAAAATATTAATTCTAAATTTAAATTATCTGGATATTATCAAAATGCCCGTAGTTTGCATACTAAATCGAATAACTTGTAATTAATTAAATAATTTGTAATATGATGTTATGTGATTTAGATTATTTCATACTAACTGAAACTTAGCTAAATTAGTGTATTTTAAATTCTGAGCTCGGCTTTGATGATTTTATAGTTTATCCTATTGATAGGTGTCAAAAAACCAGTTCTCTCTATAGAAGTGATTGTGTAACTATAAGTGTAAATAATCGTTTTATTCCAATATTATTACCACTCCGAACGATAATGTCAAACTTTTTTGCTAAGTGCTTGTTATATTCTATCGGTTATTTCAGTAAGTTTGTCTTCGAGTCATTCAACTTCTGTAGAACACCTTCTCTTACAGTACATCTGTTGGTACAACTTTTATTGTAGCCGATCACTACAATTGCCTGATGTAATATTTTTTAATGACAATGCTGGGTTAATTTATGATGGGGTAAGATCTCTTTAATTTTCGATACTTTCTTTTTTTAAATTTGTATCAACATAATTTAATTTTGAATGTTAATGTAAACAATCTTTATTTAGTCTTTTCAAAATCTGATTTTATATAAATGACTAATGTTACTGATATTCTAGTTTATATTGATTCCTTACATCCAACATTGTACCTTGAACATTACCCAATTACTGTGTGTTATTCCTTCGAGAAATATAATTTTAAAAGTGACAATTTTGAGCAAATGTCACGAGCTTTAGCTTTTGCTGATTGATCGAGGTTACGCAAATGTAATGGTGTAAAATAATGCTTTAGATATTTTCACTGATATATTACTTCATAATATTGATATATTTATTCCTAAAATGTTTCGAAAGTTTTTCATCCTTAGATGGTTTTATAAAAAATTACGTTCATCATTAATACTTAAGAAAAATAATTTACATAAAAATGTTGAACGAATTGGTAATATAAATGTCTATAATGAGTTCAAGAAAATCATTAAACACAGATAATCATGATATCTTGGTGGAGAAACTAAAACAAAATGGTGTTAGTATTTTATCTTGGTTTTCAATTTACCTTAGTGGTAGACAATAGAAAAAAAAATCGGTGACCTATTATCATCAATAATTTATGTTGTTTCTGGAGTTCCCAGGGCGGTCATTTGTCACCATTGTTATTCATAATATTTACAAATAACCTGAGTAATATTTTTCGTTATGAACGTTACTTATTTTTTGCCGATGATGTAAAATTGTTTATACAAATGAAATATATTAATGAATGTTTAAATCTCCAAAATGATTTATATACATTTCATAATTGGTGTACTAGTAATGGTTTTCAATTAAACATGGCCAAATGCTTTCATATAACTATTTGTGACAACCGCAGTTACGAAAGTTTTGTATATAATATTGACGACATTGATTTAATTACCACCCCGCTTATCAAAGACCTAGGCATATTGCTTTCCTCTGATTTGTCATTTAATGGGCATATTACTTATATTAATAATAAAGCTTTTACGCACTTTTGGCTTCTTTTAACGTAATTGTTTTGAATTTACTAATCCTCTGTACTTAAAAATTTTGCATTTCTCTCTTATACAATCTATAATCGAATATGGATCCATTATATCGTTGCCTATCAATATGGATTAAGTGATAAAATTGATAGCATACAGAAACGTTTTTTACGTATGTTAGCATTTAAACTAAACAATGGTAGTACAGATTTAGATTTAAATATGATTGCTCTGAAATATAATTATCTTTCTCTTGGTAACCGTTGACTGATATCTGTTGAACTCATTGCCTAATTAATAACACTATTGATTGTGATTAAATATTGAGTGCTATTCCATTACATGTTTCTAGTGTTATGCAAAATAATTCACTATTCTACATTCATTTGCATAAACAAAATTATAGTAATTTTTTACCGGTTAACCATATGCTAATGAAATACAGTTCAGTTTACAATTAGTTAGACTTATTTTATGGCTCTTCATCCACAGTGAAGTTCTTTCTTAAAACATATAATTAATTTATATTTGTATATATGTTTTAATTATTCATTTACATATTTCCTATTATTATTATATATACATAAGTGCTATTTTTCTTGTATTTTATTTATAAATGTATATTTTTATTTAATTACTCTTATTTCCTTTTTAAAACTGGAATACTTTAAATATAACTCTGAAGTTATCAATATTATTTTGTGAATTTATGAGGCTATTTAATTTCGATAAAATGTATATTACTCTATGTTTTTTGAAATTGTTTTAATACAATTTTTAGCTTAAATGAGAAACTGAGAAGGTATTAATTTTACTATTGTAAAATTATATTGTGTTTTATTATTTTTTTTTTTGTGTCTGTTACCACTTTTTCTCAGCTCTCACCGAACGGATTTCTTTCAACGATACGTCAAAAGATCACAAATCGTATCTAGTCGAAGACATTACCCTTCAAAATTGAAAAAATTTCCCTCGTTCCCCGTAAATGGGGGAAACCTCCAAAAAAATTACAAATTTAAAAATCGCTAATTTTTGAAATTTTTTCAATTTTTTTTACTTAAAACTACCATAACTTGTTCAAAAATAACCAAATCAATATAAATTTTTTTTATATAGATGCATAATATCATTACCTTTTATTTGGTATATTTTTTTTTATATCTGACTCTTTACCTGCCCACAGGGGAGGATTTAAAATGACAACTTTTTCACAAAAAATTAACTTTTTTAACTTAACTTTTGAAAGTGTTTCGGAAATACTGACACTATTTATATATATCTTAAATTAAAAATAATGTAATATACTTTAATATTAAAAAAAAAAAATTCGGACTTTATTATATCTTCATGGTGAAAATGGCTACCAAATGTTATTTTCGTGTGAAAATTCTTGATTTTATTTTTTACATTTTTAACTCTATAATGCTATAACTTATTGAAAAGTGTATGGATCAACACCATTTTTTTATGAGAAATAATATTTTTTAATAATCTCTTTTTCATTCAGGATATTAATACGAAAATAACAGATCATCTAGCTTTTGGAATAATCCACCAATTTTTTAATATTAAACAGTATCTAAAGATTAGTATCGAAGCCCTTTTTTTATCGTGATTTTAATCACTGTCAGATATCATTATACTTGATCCAACTATGCCACGTCACCACTGTGCTGCGATCCCCCTGTACTGGGTTTTTTTTATTAAAACTACCACTTCTGGTCCAATACTCGGCATAGGACTTACCGTTCCTGGCAACCACTTTGACTAAAAATTGAAGCAACATTTTGTTATTCTGTTAATAGGTTAATCCACTATCTGGATGTTAAGACACTTCCTTTTTCGGAGGGGGTAAAGACAATCCTTAGCTGTATCAATTAAGAAGAAATTATAGTAATGGAAAATTTGAAATGTTAGTTTGTAAATTTCTGTCAAACAAATGATAAACTATTATGAGAAATAGATGGAACAATTAAACTGAAGTTTTAATTTCAATTTTATTGCTTTTAGAGCTATTGATAGTATGAAAATAATCTAAGTGTAAATAATGGCACTGTCATAATATTATTGGGATAGCTATATTTTGTAAAGGCAAGAGACCATTAAAATGAAAATAACTATTTCATTTTATATTTGAATGGACATTTATAAAAGAAATGTATTTGCTAAATTAATATAGTTTTAAATAAAGCCTTAATATTTGACAGGTATATAATAATTATTATTTAGTTTAAAAATGAGTCACAAATATGTAGGTTTGAGTTTGAATGTAAAATAATTAAATTTTTTTATCAAAATTGTATTTTAATTCAAAATGTATTAATAATAAATTTTCGTATTAATTAATGAAAAACTAGATCGATATTTATTGTACTGAAAATCAATAAATTTATATACGAGTTAAAGTAGAAGGGAATAAAATGGAAAAAAAAATTTATTTTGAGATAATTGAGTTTAAAAATTGAAAAATTTTCGATGCAATGGTCTAAGGAATTTATGATAAATAGCACTTGCGTTAAAAAAACTCACTGTGATCATTAATCTACCCGAAAGAGTGTTTATTGTACCTTTTAATTTTGCATTTGTCTCATTTTATTTTTCAAAGCGCCACTTTGATTACTCCAGCTCTGATCGCATCATATGTCATTAGTTAAATGTTGTTCCGAATGATTTGGAATTTAAAATCCTCCCTCTACGAAGATGAACAAAATATATCATTCTTATGGCACATTAAAGGATAAGAACATTTTTTGTTTATCTTTTATAAAACCATTAAATAATAAATATAAACAACCTAGCTATTCTGCTATCTACGACTAATAAGGTAATATGTGTTATTTAACACAAAAAGATAATCTTAACCAAGAAAAAAAATGTGCCCGCCCCGAACGTCTGGCAGAAATGACCCATCAAAACTATTTTGTATATATAATTTGCGTAAATAGATGGATTATTAAATAAATATTTTTGTTATTGATTACATTATATTAATAATAATACATTACAATTCTTAATTAACCAACTAATTGCAATGTAATACAAGTCTATTATCAGTTGT